ATAATTACAGTGTTAAATGGGTTGTAATTTTTTGAGAGTTTAGGTTTTTACAGAATCAAAATTGGAGGTCCGGAAGGCCTCCAACGGTGAAAAACGCATAAAATTCTACATGTTGTATGTCACGACTGTTCATGTTTTCGGTCAAAATCGTTTTGCACGTAACTTTTGATCCGTAAGTCTCTTTTGGCCCCCGTTTGAAGTGCTGGAAAGCTAATGAACAGGGCTATAACATGGTATAGGTAAGAGAATTGGTTTCCCAATATTTTTATATCTAATATGTTTGGGAAGTCAATTATGTTCTGGTTCAGTGATGTCTTGATGCTTTGATGCTGTGATTTTTGGGGTGAATTACCATGAGTGTAAATGTGATTCCTATGTGATTAAATGAATGTATGATGAATTAACATAAGTATAACTATGATTCCTATGTGATTAAATGGATGTATGATGAATTACCATGAGTATAACAGTGATTTATATGTGATTAACACATGATTGCATGATGAATTCTCATGAGGAACTGTGATGATTTGTGATGTTGATTCCTTGAGTTTTGATGATTCTATGATGAAGTGATTCATATGATTATTTTGATGAATGATGGTGCACCTAATGAGATTATTATGAGGATGATATTGACGTGTGCATCATGCATTCATGTGCATGCGAACTTCGGTTCAGGACCTTGATTTCTTTGGCTTCAGTCTCATTGTGCAGATGTGAGTATTTTGATGTGCTCTAGTTCTTGTATAGAATCAATCCTATTGATGGGGATCTATGAAGGATTGATTGGTACCACATGCATGAGTCTTGTTGCATTTGCATTTATGTGACAATTTGGTGTAATTCATAATGTTGTGACCTTTGATGTTCCTTGATGATTATGATGGTGTTGAATATGAAAATAATATTGTTTTATATATTGATTCCTATATTAATTATTATGAATCATTTTGCTCACCCTGCCTGTTTGAATGTTGCCTTCACGTGGGTAATATGCAGATGACCAGGTTTAGTCGTGGATGCCGTCGAGGACTTTTGAAGTTTTTAGATCGTTAACCATTGTAGTTGACTTAGAGGGTCTTGCTCTGATAGTGTAACATCGAGTTGGGGTCCTTGAGTCAAACTATTTTATTGAGTTTTTGTTATGTTGATTTACTTACGGTAAAAGGAAAACTTTGGGTTTTTGGCTTTTTGAGTTCCGCTGCCATTTGAGCACTTTTGAGTAATTTTGAGAAAACTCGTTGCTTACGGAGCATTGACCTTGATTTCAATTTATTGAGAAATGTACACCCTTTGAGGTTATTTTTATGGTGTTTAAAATTTTACTCTGATAAATTCTATTATTTTGCCGTAATATTCGTGGGATATAAAAGGGTGTTACATTACTGGTATCCGAGCAGTCGGTCCATCCGGCCAAGTTGTCTAATGTTATTTGTTCTCTAGTATGCGACATGTGTGTGAAAACATTGTCGATACACATTTGTTTTCTAGCCTTTGTCTGCAAAAGTGGGGGAGAAGCTTATGCTTCTCCAGGATGCTTCAACTGTGGAGTGGTGGCTCAGTGTGTCGATGAATGTTCTTATAGTTTGGTAAAGATGGTTTATGCCCCGTCATGATTTTCGGCTATCTATTGACAAGTTGAGGAACTAATCACCCTTAATTTATTATTGATAGTAGACGGGGTTATGTTGGATGGGATATACGTGTCTTGTAAACTTAGATGGCGTGTGCAGTGAGTTGTTTTGAGTTAAGCTAAGTGCTTACAAATTATTTTGGTGAGTCGGTGCAGGATGGTGCTGAGGCGTTTATTTTGATGGAAACTTTGAGTATTAATAAAGTGGGGAAGTTGGTGGTGTGCCAATTATTTGTGATTGTCCGGATATTTTTCCTAATGAGATAAGTGATTTACCGTCGGAACGTGAAGTGGAGTTTGTGATCGATTTAGTTCATGGAACTAGTCCGATATCAATGGTTGCATATCGTATGTCTGCATTGGGATTGAAAGATTTGAAGAGTCAACTTTAATATTTGCTTGAGAAGATATTCATTCATTCGAGTGTGTCATCGTGGGGTGCACCAGTTTTGTTGATTAAGAAGAAAGAAGGTTTTGTGAGGACTTGTGTGGATTATAGACAATTGAACAAAGTGACTATCAAGAATAAGTGTCCACTTCCCAGAATTGATAACTTGATGGATAAGTTGGTTGTTGCAAGTGTTTTCAGTAAGATAGATTTGAGATTTGGGTATCATCAGATTCGTGTGAAGCCTGATGATATTCCAAAAACAACTTTTAAAATAAGGTATGGACATTATGAGTATTTCGTGATGCCATTTGGTGTGACTAATGCACCATGTGTATTTATGGAGTACACAAAAAAGATTTTTTATCCTTATTTGGACAAGTTTGTGGTTGTGTTCATTGATGATATTTTGATATATTCGAAGAGTAAAGAGGATCATACTGAGCATCTGAAAAATTGTGTTATCAACGTTGAAAGAGAAGCAGTTGTATGCAAAATTGTCAAAGTGTGAGTTTTGGTTAAAGGAAGTGAGTTTCCTTGGTCATGTGATCTCAAGTAGAGTTATTGCGGTTGATATGTCGAAGGTTGAAGCTGTATCGCAATGGGAAGCTCCAAAACCTATTTTTGAGATTAGAAGTATTCTTGGGCTGGCAGATTATTATCGAAAACTCATTGAAGCATTTTTCTAAGTTATCTTTGCCATTGATGCAGTGGACTAGGAAGGTTCAAGCTTGTGTTTTGGATGCAAAGTGTGAAAAAAGTTTCAAGAGCTTTTGAAGAGGCTGACAGCAACTCATGTTTTGATTTTTCCGAATCCGACAGAACAATTGTTGTATATTGTGATGCTTCATTGATGGGATTGGGAGGTGTGTTAATGTAACATCAACAAGTTTTAGCTTATGCTTCAAGACAACATAAAGTGAATAAGAGGAATTATCTGACGCATGATTTAGAGTTGGTAGTTGTTGTGTTTGTGTTGAAGCTTTGAAGGCATTATTTGTTTGGTTCGAGATTTGAGGTGTTTAGTTATCATAAGAGTTTGAAGTATTTCTTTGATTATAAAGAATTGAATGTGAGGCAGAAGAGATGATTGGGACTTCTGAAGGATTATGGTTTTGGTTTGAATTGCCATTCGGGTAAAGCAAACATGGTAGTTGATGCATTGATTTGGAAATCTTTGCATATACCGATGATGATGGTAAGAAAGTCAGAATTGATTGAGCAATTTCGTGATATAAGTTTGGTTTGTGAAAAGTCTTCATATGGAGTTAAGCTTGGTATGTTGAAGCTTACTAGTGGTATTCTTGATGAGATTCGAGGAGGTCGGAAATCTAATTTGAGTTGATAGATCGGTTGAATTTGATGGATCAAAGTCGAAGAGCTGATTTTCGGATTAATAAAAATGGTATCATGAGATGTCGTGATAAAGTTTGTGTTCCAGATATTGTTGAGTTGAAAAAGAGTATTCTTGAGGAAGGACATCAAATTAGATTGAGTATCCATACCGGTGCTACGAAGAGGTACCAGGATTTGAGGAAATTGTTTTGGTGGCCAGGGATGAAGAAAGAAGTGGCTGAGTTTGTGTATGCTGGTTAGACTTGTTAGAAGTCGAAGATTGAACATCAAAGACCGTCGGGTCTGATGCAACCATTGAATATTCCATAGTGGAAATGGGATAGCATTTCTTTGGATTTTGTGACAGGTCTACCGAAGACATTTAAGGGATATGATTCAATTTGGGTGATTGTCGATAGATTGACCAAATCGGCTCATTTCATACCGATACGGATCAATCACTAGTGGAAAAAAGGCTTTTTAAGTCGGTTAAAAATGATTTTTTAAGTCGGGTCCGAGCCCGACCTAAGAACTACCGACATAAGAAGTTTTGACTTCTTAAGTCGGTTGTGGACCTGACTTAACAAACTATTATTAGGTCGGTTAGGCAGAACCCGACTTAATAAGTCTAGCCTGCAGAAACCATTTATACCCGACCTAAGAACTTACTTTCTTAAATCAGGTATAATTAACCGACCTAAGAAGTTGTTTTTTTTTTGGATAATCACACAAATCAGATGCAGTTTTCCCATTTAACAATTTACCCCCAAATCAGACTATCCAACTCAATCAGCAAATTACACCCAAAAAAAATCACACAACACAGATCACAGTTTTTTGTAATTAATTGATACAACTTGCTAAAAATATTATATTACTTACATGTCCATGAACCAACAACAGTATAATGAAAAACAACATACAAGGTAAGATAGTTTCATGAATAAAAAAATAGACCCACTTTTCAATTTTTGCCACTTTGACCCTCTGAATTTCAATGCTCTGAGCCCTTTGAATTTGGACAGAGACAGAACTTGCTCTTCCTTAACATTTCATAGTAAGAAACACCCTTTGGAAGATACTTTTGAACCATCATGTCTTGATCCTTGTTGTTTTCCCAATGTTCGAGAAGAATCAATCTTATATATTCGTGACGTCCTCCTGCAAAGAAAGCTAACATGGGACGTTTAGAAGCTAACATCGAGTATATGCTTTTGCAAGGTCCGTTGTGAAAAACTGGGATCTCCCCTTCTTCGTAAACGAATACTTTGAACTGTTTTTCCATTTCCAAGTAGCTCCTGTCACTCAAAGTATAACTTTGTAAGCATTTAGTGCGTATTTGTAATTGGCCACATTGATAGACAAATGCATTATTAACGAACCTGTGAAATGCCTTAGCATCCCAATACATTGGACCTATTGGAACATAATCTGGATCTTGTGCTTGATTTCCATCGATGGCTTCTCTAATAGCAGCTCGAGCTTGTAATAAACCAACTTCTGTTCTATCTAAGATGCTGAGCTTCTTTGAACGAGGCACATAAGTCTCATTCATTGGATCACTACTGTTGAGCCAAGGTTTGGAGATGTTGACAAATTTTGTTTCATTTTGTTCAATACATGAGTCATTAACCATAATATTTAAATATTCAAGCTATTAAGCACCGAATCTGACTCGAACACTGGAGATGCATCTGGAGATTGAACAGGGTAGAACTTGTAAAATCTCATTGCGTCAAATGCAGCTTTAGCTTCCTCACTCATTTCTGTGATGGCTTTCTTCTGTGCCTCCCTTGCCTACAAAAGAATAGGAAGGTTAAACAAAGCAGAAAACGGCCTAATATGTGCAGTGCCCCAACAGCACAAATAACCAAAAAGTACCTCTCTGTTGGCTCTCTTTGCTTCCCGAACCTTTTCTTTGACAAATTCCTAAAAAGAAAGGGATCAAGGGATCAAACAAACTTGTTAGACAAAATACGTGACAATATGAATAATGAATCAACAAAATATCTTCTTCTTTCTACCTTGAAGGCGTCCTTTTGGTCTGCTGATAACTCTTCCGCCTCGATAAGCTTATCAGTGAATTCCTGCAGAAAATTGAAAATACGAGTGTAAGAGTCCTATAGCCATCTTTATTTCAAGGGCAAGAAGGTGGAGAAACAATGAAACACATCAATGATAAATAAGATAACCACTTTAATCATATGTCTAACAATCCCATTTGTACACCACAGTTAAGTTAAAATTTCCTAGAACTCAATGACATAGTAACATGCAGCCATTTAGAGTAAACAACAGCCAGTATACATCTTCCTGCAGAATAATACCTCGAGTTTGTCTAATTCCCAATCAAACTCACAGAAGACCTGCAACAAGCAATATATACATAAGTTGCTTATAGAACAAAGGGTAATTTAAATATTTATAAAGAACATTTACATAGCCATACTGTAAGAAAAAAAAAATATATCCCAAACAATCCAAAGACTGTCAAACCTATAAGATAATAATTAAACCATAATTACCGGTTTTGGCTCAACTGGATAGATTATTGGAACCTCGGTGCTCTGTTCAAACACATCTTCCTTAAAGGGCTGATAGAAATCTGTGGAAAAAATAGCACTCATAAGTAACTATCTTAACAAAAATATTAACCGATGACAAACTAGTATGCCTCAGACAAAAGAAGCAATAATAATTGACCAAGAAAACAATACGAGGGTCTATAACAGTCCATCATTCTCACTTCATTTGAACTAGTTATTCAAACTTTATTCACTACTAGGTAGAAAACTGTAACTTACAAGGCAAGCAGTACTCGTATTTCTTTAATCTATCCAACTTAAGGTGTTTTAAAGCAGACTTGTACCACATATATGACAGAGTTAGGATGAAATTATGTTCAAGAATTTGTTATATTGAGGACAACAGGTCAATAGTGTATGGATAAACATCTCTACATGCAGCTCTACTCACCTTGAAAGAAATGCAATGAATAGAATAAAAAGAATATTTAAAAAAGCAACATATTTCTTAAAAGGATTAAGGGGAACAAAAAATTCACGCAGTAAAACAGAAGCCTATCAAGATTCAACAGAAGAGAATGTTCTGAGAAAAGATATTCTTCAACAGAATTATCTGAAATTTGTACTACTAATGAGTCTTCGTGTTTTTGTTAAGAGAATGAGTATTGATGTTGAAGGGAAAGGGCAAAGAAAGAATAAAGCTATACCTTCTTTGCGTGCAACAAAGTATAAATATTTCAGTCTTCAGTCTTTCCACTTGGCTATCTCTGTTGAAGACATAATATTAAAATTAAAAAGTTGAAATATGAACAAGGAGAAATATTTCATATAGTTGTACCAAAGGAACCATTGAAAGTAAACAAATAAACAGGCTGGGATAAGTATCGGTCCTCCAGAGGAATGTATGGAACCCAATCCATTTTCATTTGCTTCATGGGAATTATCTCTGCAGCCTCTCTCTGAACGGAGTTAATCCCAATTTTATCAGATGGTGGAAAAGGTGATACAACCTGTTAACAGAAAAAAAAAAAAGTCAATATATTTAAAATCAAAATCACAGTGAAAAAATCTTCAGCACATCAAAATTGAAAGATCGATTCACTAGTAAATTCATATTTTCAAATAACAACTAAATCGCTAAGGATATGATTCTAAGTACCAAAGAAACTAGATCCTACAAGGAGATACATCAAATTAAACTCAGAAGAAATGTGTAACTAGTTACAACAATATATCAAAGCTTTTTGCCGTTGAGTGGGACCAACTCAGTTGGTCAAACAATGCTATGGCCAGAAAACAGGTATCATTATTGTTATTATTGAATTCTGCATAGTTGGAAGTCCGAATTGTCAATGTTTAATGAAAACAAAATTATTAGCTTGGTAGTAATTCTTCATGATACATGTAGATAACCCAATTTGAAAACTTACCGCTACAACAACCGGAATGCAGATAACTTTATTTTCCCCTTTATGCATGACCAGTTGAGCTGCAACAACAGGATGCATAAGAACTATGTAAGCTAAATGTGACCAAATAAGAGGATTGCCTACCAATAAAATTAGTTGCCTAACCAACTCACAAAATTATGAAAACACCAAAGAAAGTTCATAGACTACTTACGCTCGGTGCAACCAATGCTCGAGAAAAACCGATCTTATATATCCGTGAAGTCCTCTTGCAAAGAAAGCTAACATGGGACGTTTAGAAGGTGAAAATGATTAAAAAAAATTGTATTTTTAACAAGAAAAATAAAATGAGAAAGAGGAAAAGGAATAGGGGTTTACAATCGAGGGAGCTGATACGGAAGGTAGAATTTCCGTCGGAGAAAGCAAGACCAGCGTCGAGGGGCGTAAATCTTCTCTTTCACCAATCTCCAATCGTGACCCCTGAACCTTCAAATTTTCTTCAATACGATAACCTAAACCATCACACAACCCATTAACGCACTGGTTCCTCATAAACTTCCTTCCTCTTCTTCAAACTCAAACTTTCCCCAAATCCTTTACCTCAAATCACTCAAACCAAACCCCAAAATCATCAAATCAGAGCAAAACCCAGGCTTTGAAACAGAAAGCGAGATGAAGTGAGAACAAAAACCATAACAGAAACGAAGAAGAGAAGAAAAACGAACCAAACAAAACGAGTTGGATTCAAAACCCGTACGCACTTGGGTAAGACGATAACGAATTTGATGAGTATAAGCTTGATGTTGTTTCTCAAGTGTGAAACATGATGTTGACCATGGCCCTGTTCTACCTGTTGATGCTGCTTCTGAGATATGATTTTGATATTATTTTTTTTGTTAAAAACCTGAGAGTGACTCTTCTTTTCTTAATTTTTAGGTCAGGTGAGTAATACCTGACTTAACAAATATGTTTGTTAAGCCGGTTAGTGAATACAGGCGACTTAACAAATTTAATACAAATTATATTTTTTTTCTTTAATTTTTTTTAAGTCGGTTCAAAATGTAATTGAATAACAATGTTATAAATATTTACGAAATTGCCACCGCATCACTTCTTAAGTCAGGTGGTAGGTGAACTGACTTAACAATCTCTACTATAAAGATATTTTTGTACTAGTGAATTATTCGCTGCAGAAGCTGGCCGAATTATATATTGATGAGATTGTGAAAGTGCACGGTATTCCTTCAAGTATCATGTCTGATAGAGATCCGAGATTCACATCGAGGTTCTGGGAGAGTTTGGAGACAACTTTGGGTACTAAACTGAGGTTGAGTTCTACCTATCATCCGCAGACGGATGAACAGACAGAGAGAACTATCCAGTCTTTAAAGGATTTATTGAAAGCTTGTGTATTGGATCAAGGTGGATCATGAGATAGTCATTTTCTATTGATTGAGTTTACCTACAACAATAGTTATCATTCTAGTATCGAAATGGCCCCATATGAGACATTGTATGGTAGGAGATGTATGACTCCTTTATGTTGGTGTGAATCAGAGAGAGTCTTGTACTCGGACCTGAGATTGTGCAAGAGACGACTGAAAAGATCAAGATGATCCAAGAAAAGATGAAAGGGTCGCAGAGTCGTCAGAAGAGTTACCATGATAAGAGAAGGAAAACACTTGAGTTCCATGAAGAAGATCACGTGTTTTTGAGAGTTACTTCGGTAACTGGTGTTGACCGAGATTTGAAGTCCATAAAGCTCACACCGCGTTTTGTTGGTCTGTATGAGAGTGGCGTGGCGAAGAAGTAGCATGTTGGACTGCTTTACTGTAACACCCTTCTAACCCCGCAGAATAAATATAAATAGATCAGAGTAATTATCACGCATTTCACAAAAGGGTGTCACATAACTTTTCAAAACATCACACAACACCTGTCATGCTCAATAATATAAAAATAACTTTCTGCTTTTCATACACCTTCACATTAACATGTAGCAGCAGATTTGCTTTAATCATGATATACATAATAAAAGTCTCATGTTCATCTCATTTTTTTTAAGACTTAGGCTTAAAAGCCAATTATTCATATAATTCAAAATAACAACAACAGAATAAGGTAGAGTACATAAAATATCTCTCCAAATATGAAATCAAAATATTCCCCGGTGTTACATAATCAGAGCATGACTCGATCCAAAATAAATAAAGACACAACTCAAGCTACTCCAACGGCTACCTCGCGCTAGAAGCAACTCTACTCCTCAGTACCTGAGCGATGTCGTATAAAACATCATTCCAACAGAAGGGTGAGAATTCACATAATTATTGAAATTATAAGATAATATATAATTTAAGGCATACAAACATAATCACAATTATCCTCACACTTCAAAAGTTTCATCAACACAATATCATTCAAGTAACCATACTATTCACAAGTATATACACACAACTCCATACTTCACCAATTTATCAATTTCACATATCACACATAATCTCATAGCAGATACATATACACAATGAGACTCAATGCACAACTCAATGTAAGACTCAATGCAACTCATGCCATGTGGTACCAACACTTGTTATTATTTTTCGGTTTTTACACTTAAACCGGGTCCATTCCCTAGACCAATAACACACAAAAAGCTCATTCCCTAAGCTTTCAAACCCCGCTCTAGGTTTGGGACAAGTCACTAGCTCCCACGGAACTAACAAACATTGCCTCTTGACGCAAATGATGCGTATGCAAATTCAACAACTATATGCAATTAAGATCATACACAAATCTTCATATTCAAGCATATCTTCAATAATTCATCACACTTGAATTACCACACATTTGCACATACACAAGCATTAACACAATTCAACCTCAATTCACAAAACACACATCACTAATTAAATATAGAATAGTTAATCAATCACTAATAATTAAAAAAAAAAATCGATATTCAAATAAATATTCACTACTCAATAAATATTCAACAATTATTCAATATTCAATGAATAATTAAGTATTTTAAATAAACAATCAATATTTTAATAGAATTCCAATGTTTTAAATAGAATTCCAATATTAACAAGGTTCCAATAATTAATCATTAATGTAGTTTGAATATTTAAATAGATATTTAGCAATTACTAAAGTTCTACTACCTAACTTATATAATTACTACAGGGACCAATTAATAATACTCACTTTGTTTCTAACCATAAACATAAATAATTTCAGCTAGCATCACCACAAATGTTTCACAGTCACATTTTATATACGGTATGGTTAACCGTCGCCAATTCTAACTAGTTTCATTAAAGTTAATAGATAATATGGTAGATTCATAAATGAAATTGCATTATCTGTATTCATGTGATTACAGTGTTAATAATAGATTATAGTGTAATTTGAATAGTTGTTTTATTTTTTATTTAAAAAAATTGATCATAATCATGTACCAGTAGTTTATATTCTGATTTATGCAACTAAAGTATGAAAAGATTTACAACACTGAATGCGTGTAATTTACCCCAGTTCACAGTGTGTCGTAAAGGTAATTTTCTAGAGCTTTTAAAAAAAGAACATGCTAAAAGAAAGAGAGATAATATGCTAACTTGTTTAACCCCAAACCAAAATTCAAAACCATCACATTCACCAACAAGCAACTCTAACTGTCATCGAGCAGACCAAGACCAATACTGTTTGACAATATATGTATATTCCAATCAGTTTATCTAAATATTAATTAGGTCTCTATAATATACCAACATATCAATTTCAAACACAATTAATTTGACACATTTTAAATATTATCACTAAAATCTAACAATTTCTAATCTCATAAAAATTTGGGGTTTTATCCTAAACACTTTCTACTACTCATTTATACACTATCATATAACCCAATAATCATACAGAAACTCACCCTTACCTTGAA